TATATACTTTCAAAGTATTTAATCAGTAATTGTGCAATAAAATTATAAACTAATAAAATTTGCATATATGGTTCATTTAACTTCTATGCTTAAAGGTTTGAATTCATATCTTTAACCTTAATTTCTTGATTTTACTGGGTAATAACAAGAAAAAGTAGTATTTTTATATATGAAACTATACTTGTTTCCCAAAGTATTACAAAAAATCTCAAATTACAATAGATTAAAACTATTTGGAATATTTGTTTTTAAAGTTTAAAACTTTAACAAATATAAAACCAGTTCCAGACTTTAATTAGAATATCGATCGATATTTAGTAATTAAATATTACGTATTGTTTATATATATGTAGTCTATCATAGATAATTATATTACATTTCATGTAATATGATTTTAGATATATAATAAATAAGGAAAGTTAGTTGTTTTGTTAGAGTGATTATCAAGAAACAAAAATTAGGCGAGTTCAATAAAAAGTAGCATAAGAATGCTGTGTGGGTTTAAAGTAAAATTGCATGTTTCATGAAATAGTAACTGAAGTGAAACTTATAAAAAAAAGTGTAAATATAAAACACGTACTTAATTTTAAAATTTTATTGTAATAATTATTATAATATGATTTTGTTCTTTTTTTATTTCAGGTTGTTATTATAAGAAAAGAAATATAAACTACGGTACTTGTTATCTGTATACTAAGAAAAACAAAATCTTGCAAAACTTAACTAGATTTATTAAATTATTTATTATATAGTTAATAAAACTGAAAGTACTGAAATAATAGCTGCAGATGAAAGTCTTATTATAACCACCACGGATGAAAGTTCTGAGATAACTATTGTGAATGAAAATACTAGTACAATTTCTGTAAATGAAGGCTCTGAATCAACTATTAATAAAAAAAATGTAAATGAAATAGGCTCCAATCATAGGTTTTTAAATATGAATATTTTATCAAGCATTCTAAAAAGGTAAAATAGTTTTATTATGTTGTTTAATCTGTAATTGATTGATTTTATAACATATGAAATAATTTGCATATAGGTCGATTTATAAATTATTATAGCCCTGTACAAAATAAAAAGTATTAAATTAGTAAAAATAGT